CAAGGCATTTCCCCCCAGCACACTCAGATACACTCTGCCTAGCAGCAACGCTAATCACGCGCTGACAGGCTCCTTACAGGAGTCAGTTCACTGAGGCACCTGCAGAGGCAGAAACTGGGAGCCAGTAGAGTGGCTGTGTTTGGCTTCACCCAGCTCAGTACAACCATGATCCAGCTCTCCCATCTTTACTTTGGGAATGCTGCCACCTCCTCACTTTGCCAGTGAACAGGCAAGTCTCTAGGTCAAAGCTGCTCCAAGCAGCCTAACATAAGGAGCTACTGAAAGGCCACAGCTCTGGCTAGGCATTTCAGACAGTGGTTTTAACTGGAGCAGTGACTCATCCTGTGCTTCACTGACACATGTTGTTGTCACCAATCCGGTTATGGAAACAGGAAAATATTGAATTGTTATGAGAACACTGTACTGTTCAGGACAGGCAGCAACTCACCCAGCCTCCTTGGCTCATTAGCCACTCTCGTTTAGATGAGACAAGAGCATCTGTGATGATCCCAGCTAATGAACTGATGCACTTCTCCTGGTTTATGCTTTTTAGATGTTTTGCAACAAAGGCACCAAATGAGATGAGTGTTACAACTCTACCCCAGTTTGTTATTCCATCACTGAAAACATGGGCTGCCACCTCACACACTGACTGCAGGTCTTCTTCTTTCTTGATTTCCAGCTTCCTCAGCATTCCTGTAAGAGATACTAGTTTTAGAAACAAGCACACACTGGAATGAGTTCCACTTTGAGTCCCATGACACTGGACAACCCACAGGCACTTCCCACTTTCTACTATATCCCCTGAAATACCTGCTCCAGAACCAGTTAGGAAGTACACATTGTCCCCTGTGAGAAGGTACAGCTTCCACACTTTAAGCCCAAAAGCCTTAACAGAGTCACTGCCAACTATTAGAGAACTAGTCGCATACTTTTTGAAGGGCTCTGCCACACACACTTGTCTACGCAAGGCAAAACAGCCACTAACCCATTTCTAGTTCCTTCCTCCCAACCTTGGTTACAGCTGCCACTTTGTACACATCATACTTCCATGTCTTGCACAGGCTTTAAAACCTTACCAGGTCACAATGACAACACAAAAGTCAGTCTGTAGCTTGGCACAAGTTCTGCATTCACCCTGAGCCAAGAGAAAGGACAATTACCTACTGCAAAGCAGATGTCTCACTATTCTATTAATCTGCTTTTAGCAACTGGAACAACAAGACTCCCCAGTTTGACCTACAGTGCCCCCTCATGAATAAGCAAACAAGACAAGCCTTTATGAAACTGAAAAATATTGCTTGTTATTGCTCAAACCAAGAGGAAGCTTTCCCAAAGCCAGTTCCTTCTCGGCACACAAAGTTAACCGTCTTTAAAGCCTCACATATTAGCATTGATCTGAATGCTCTTCGCAAGCATTTTTTTTCCACATTACACACACAGCTTTGCCAGTGTAATTAAGCCCACAACCTTTCATATCAGTGCAACTAAGCACATGAGGAAGAAATTTAAGTCCTCCACATTCTAAAAGTGGAATATCCTTCTCCAAAAAGGAAGGCATTTCACCATATGCTGGCTAAGGAGGAAATACAAACACTACCCTTTTGCGCTAGGCAGCTTCTCAATTCAAGATCACACATTCTTGCAGCTGCTAAACATGCAAAATGCAGTCCCAGCAAGAGCTGAGGCTAGGAGTTCATCCCCTGAAGACCTACAACACTCAAACTAGTCCCAAAACTGTTCATTTTTGTGCTACACAAAATCAGGTTAAAACGGCCAGTTCTCACTTCCAGTCTGAGTTTCCAGGACACTCAAATCTGCAGTTTCTAGTCATCAGAGACACCTGCTCATCCTAGTCCAGACTCTTGTGTTCAAGTTTCTGTGGCTATTTTAAGACTGATCAGAAGTGGGTGCAATACACTAAAATAGCTAAAATCCAGCCACGCTATTCAGGAGAACTTCTCCCCAAACTCCAGCCTACCCTAGCCAGGGGGGCTAGCAGTTTAAACTCCTAGGCTAACTAATCTTTGGACACTTGGAGTTATTTGCATATGGTCATACTGATCAAAGCAGGAGGAACTGCAGCTAATCTGTAACTAGATTATCTCCTCTGCACACGTTACCACTGTTTCCCCCCCCTCCCAATTGAGCAAAGTTCAGTTTCATTTTTTTAATCACACTTCAGCTGTTTTAACTCCCTCCAGGCCTGAGCCACAGCCCACCCTGGTACCAATCTGGCCAGGGGCTCAGCAGCCTCATTCCAGCACCAAGAGCTGGCTCGGGCCCAGGCCTCCCCCAGTCCCCACCACGCAGCACGGCCCACAGGGCTGAGCCAACGCCCACCCACTTTGAGGGCCCCACACATAGGCCAGGCCCACACACAGACCCCTGCCCCTCTCCACAGGGAAGGGACCAGGCCCAGACAAAGGCCTGGAGACCACAACCCCTCCACAGGGGTGGGGACCAGGCCCCCAAAACCCTCCACAGGGAAGGGGACTGGACCAGACCAAAGCCCAGGGCTCACACCTCCCTCACCCCTCTCCACAGGGGTGGGGACCAGCCCCTCCCAAAACCCAGGGACCTTCCACAGAAAAATGGGACAGGATCCAGACCAAGGCCAGGGGCCCAACCCCTCCTCCACAAGAGGGAGGGCCAGGCCTCAAACACTCAGGACCCTCCACAGCAGGAGGGCCAGGCCTGGACCAAGGCTCAAGGCCCACAACCCCCTCCCCC